AGAAATAACATACTCTGGTACAACCCACCATACAGCAAGAACGTCAGCACAAACATCGGCTACAAATTCATTTCACTAATTGACAAGCACTTTCCCATAGACCACAAACTCAGAAAACTATTTAACCGCAACACAATTAAATTAAGTTACAGCTGCATGAACAATATGGAACATATTATTAATAACCATAACAAACGCATATTGAGAGAACCTGACAATACTAATGACACCATCAATGACAAAAATACACAAACAAAACATGCAACTGCCGTCAAAACAAACTGCCCACTTAACGGAAACTACAATCAAATCATCTACCAAGCAACTGTTAAACGTTTAGAGTAACACAACTGAGCTACATCGGACTTACAGAAAACGAATTTAAGACTCGACACAGAAACCATACTGCCTTTTCGCCAAAAAACTAAGAAACTCCACCGAACTCAAAACACATATGGATCTAAAGACAACAATATCGTAATATCTCATGGAACATCATTATCACAGCAAAACAAAAGATGCAATACCCATGCCTGAAAGAAAACTCTTCATCACACAACACAACTATCATCACTCAACAAACGTAACGAACTTCCTCTTGTGCCATAGACACAAAGCACTTTTATGTAATTTGTAATCGTACACTCAATATATTATGTTTCTATCCAATTTTAACCTCTTCCTCTGTATATATATCTAGCACATGCTTTGTATTCATTTAATATTATCCCTGAAGAGGAGCACGAAAGGCGTCGGGATGATTGTAGTTTTGTATTTTCTCATCATAATATATATATATATATATATATATATATATATATATATATTGATGAAAAGAAAATACACAAAACTACAATTTCATCCCGACAAGCCCGTTTCGTGATTTCTCACTCTTCAGGGGATAATATTAAATGAATACAAAGCATGTGCTAGATATATATACAAGAGGAAGTTAGGTTAGAATTACATATATTACGATTACATACATAAAAGTGCTTTGTGTCTATGGCGACAAGAGGAGATAAGTTCGTTACGTTTGTTGAGTGATGATAGTTGTGGTTGGTAGGTGATGAAGAGTTTTTCTTTCAGGCATAGGTTGCATCTTTGTTGGCGCTGTTGTACGGTTTGCTGTGAGTAATGATGTTCCATGAGATATTGTGAGCGATGTTGTTGTCTTTAGTGTCCATATGTGTTTGCTGAGTTCGGTGGAGTTTCTTAGTTTTGTGGCGAAAAGAGGCAGTATGGTTTCTGTGTCGAGTCTTAAATTCGTTTTCTGTAAGTCCGATGTAGGTCTCAGTTGTGTTATTGTCTAAACGTTTAACAGTTGCTTGGTAGATGACAGATGATTGTAGGCAGTTTCCGTTAAGTGGGCAGTTTTGTTTTTGACGGCAGTTGCATGTTTTTGTTTGTGTATTTTTGTCATTGATGGTGTCATTAGTATTGTCAGGTTCTCTCAATATGCGTTTGTTATGGTTATTAATAATATGTTCCATATTGTTCATGCAGCTCCACCGCTAACAAAGACGCATTCATAATACTCAAAGATCACAAACCGAACTTCGCAAATAAACCCACGTGCCGACTAATCAACCCGACGAAATCTGAAATTGGAAAAATTAGCAAAAAAATACCTGACAGAATAAACAACAATATCATAAAAGCCACTTCGCTGAACCAATGGAAAAACTCGTCATCTGCCATCAAGTGGTTCAACTCCATCAAACACAAACAAAATCACAATTTCATATCTTTCGACATTGTAGACTTCTACCCGTCTATCAACCAAGACCTCTTAAACAAAGCACTTGAATTCGCCTCAACCTACGACAACATTACAAACCAAGAGAGAAACATTATCATACATGCCAAGAACTCATACCTCATTCACAACCAACAACCATGGCAAAGAAATACAACTCACATTCGACGTGACAATGGGCAGCTTCGACGGCGCCGAAACATGCGAACTCGTAGGAAGCTATCTACTCTCACAACTGCAACACATCATTACTAACATAGGACTCTATCGCGACGACGGACTAGCCATTACTAAAGCAACACCTAAAGAAACAGAAAAAATTAAAAAAGAGATATGCCGCGTATTTAACAACAACGGATTGCGTATCACTATCGAAGCTAACAAAAGTCATTAACTTCCTCGACATTACGTTCGATCTAAAGAATTCTTCCCATCGACCTTACACTAAGCCCAACACCTCTTTGCAATACATCCACCACGAAAGCAACCATCCTCCAAGCATTACAAAGAACATACCCGATACCATTAACAAACGCCTTTCATCCTTATCATCCGACAGAGCATCATTCGACCAAGCAATCCCTCCATACCAAAAAGCACTTGACGAAAATGGATATCATTACACGCTGAAATATGACCCAAACGCTACTACGAAACGGAAAACAGACTTAGAAATAACATACTCTGGTACAACCCACCATACAGCAAGAACGTCAGCACAAACATCGGCTACAAATTCATTTCACTAATTGACAAGCACTTTCCCATAGACCACAAACTCAGAAAACTATTTAACCGCAACACAATTAAATTAAGTTACAGCTGCATGAACAATATGGAACATATTATTAATAACCATAACAAACGCATATTGAGAGAACCTGACAATACTAATGACACCATCAATGACAAAAATACACAAACAAAACATGCAACTGCCGTCAAAACAAAACTGCCCACTTAACGGAAACTGCCTACAATCATCTGTCATCTACCAAGCAACTGTTAAACGTTTAGACAATAACACAACTGAGACCTACATCGGACTTACAGAAAACGAATTTAAGACTCGACACAGAAACCATACTGCCTCTTTTCGCCACAAAAAACTAAGAAACTCCACCGAACTCAGCAAACACATATGGACACTAAAAGACAACAACATCGCTCACAATATCTCATGGAACATCATTACTCACAGCAAACCGTACAACAGCGCCAACAAAAGATGCAACCTATGCCTGAAAGAAAACTCTTCATCACCTACCAACCACAACTATCATCACTCAACAAACGTAACGAACTTATCTCCTCTTGTCGCCATAGACACAAAGCACTTTTATGTAATTTGTAATCGAACACTCAATATATTATGTAATTCTATCTCAATTTTTAACCTAACTTCCTCTTGTATATATATCTAGCACATGCTTTGTATTCATTTAATATTATCCCTGAAGAGTGAGAAATCACGAAACAGGCTTGTCGGGATGAAATTGTAGTTTTGTGTATTTTCTTTTCTCATCAATATATATATATATATATATATATATATATATATATATATATATATATATATATGTGTGTGTGTAGTGTTGTTGAGAAGAGTGCACAAGGGCTGCGATTTCGTCCCGATGTTTATTGCTCACTCTTCAGGGGATTTAAATCCCCTGAAGAGTGAGCAATCACGAAACAGGCTTGTCGGGATGAAATTGTAGTTTTTGTGTATTTTCTTTTTCTCATCAATATTTACGCTCTGCTCTTAAGCATCGAGCACTGTACTTACGGAGATTCAAATAAACAAAACTTCCTATATATATATATATATATATATATACATTGATTTATAGTATATTTAAATAACACCACGTAATGTAAGAGTTGTAAACGAATACTAAATACATGCTCTCATTACACTGAAGTTCTAAACTCCGTTGTATCTTGAATAGCCTCTTATATTAATAACTATTTAAGATATTTGCGTACGATGGAAAAGGCTGCATTTAGGTTATTTTGGCAAAATGACCTGGAGATAGAATCTTAACTGTCTAGTGTTCAGACTATTTTTCTTTTGAGTACGTTTTCCTTTGCGGTTGTTGCTCAACTACAATGTAAAGTAAGCATTAAGTGGACATTTAAACCATAACACTGGACATTTAGACCATTTTTTCTGTTACGGTGTACGCATGTTTTATGTTGGCGTAGCTAGCTCAATTATTGAGGGGGAGTACTCAAGGGCGGCGGAGTATTGAAAATTGGGAAGCGCTATTATTCATTTGTGCCCGTTCTACTTTACATTGAAATTAATTAGTTTTAGGAATTATAACATATGAATATATGAATCTCCCCCTCCCAATTATCGATGTTCTGCCAATGGTAGAGTATTTATGTTTGCCAATACTCTGTCAATGGTTGAGTAGTTATGTTTGCATGTTGAACTTCGTTACCTTCCTTGAATCTAATCTTTTTTATTGATAATAACGCGCATTTTTAATATTTGCCACCCTTCACTCCATTCTCGAGATAGCTGCCCTCATTCCTTTTCTGTTGAAATAAAGAATTGATTTTTTGATCTATTTTATTTTATTCTTATTATAGATTCAGAGTTCGTTTTGACCCCATTGAAGCACTACCTCCTGTATTTGTGGCCTAAAAAATGCAGCATTCTGTGTAATTTCTTTTTACCCCTATTTATGGGGGAATTGCATGTCCATCAAAATCACCCCTTTAAAATTTACCCCCATAAATTTTACCCCTTGATAAATTTCACCCCATAATAGAAGTTACCCCTAACTAAATATTACCACCGTAAATTTTACCCCTAAATAAATATTACCCCCATATAATTTTACCCTTCAAAACAGGGGCATTCTTTGGCACTCATTTCCCCCCTAACGTTAAGGGTGATTTTTACCCCCCAAAATTTACAGTGTATATATTTCACGAGCCCAAAATCTATGCTTTTGACGTATATTTCTCTTTCTTCTACGGCGCAAAACGATTTGAGCAAGCAAATAACTAGACTACCAAAAGACTTAAATAAACAACAGCCATCATTTTTAAATGTTTTGCGCTAAAATTAATTGAAGCACAGTCTCTTAATTGGCAGCGCTGAAATGATTATATGAAAAATACAATAGCTTCAGTCGTCCCAGTCGTTTTGAAAAACAACGAAAAAACTCGGAACGACTCAGACGATTGAAGCGACTTAATGAAAACCAAGCATAATAGAATTCGTTACCTTAATCCCAGGAACAGCGTGCATTTCTACCTGCCAAGCAATAGCAAAACCAAAATTCATCCTTTGCTCCTGTGAATAAGAACTGAGATTCGATGTTGTCAATATCAAGGCATCTATTGAGAAGAAAACGAAATTGAAAATAAGACTGAAAAGATTGTACAAAAACGTTAAAATGTTTATCGTCAAAGATATTCAATATTTAAAATTTTTCAAACAAAGTAACCATTTTAAATTTAGCTTTCCTTGAGTTGTCTTTTATCTTCCAGTTGTTCAAAGTGGCACCCCAGTGAGTCACAACAGGACGTGATCCTAAACAGCAAAATGTTGAAAAAATTGCTCCATCATGCATTTTGTTTTAGCGAGAATTTTATATCAATTTCAGAACAAAATGTAATTTAATTCAAATTTACAGAACCAAATGAAAGGGTTGGCTGCTCCTGCCAATGGATTGAATAAACTTGTATGCCCTGATAAAAATGTTAACTTAGCCACTGTATAGTTATTATACAGTATGCTCACTCTCGCAAAAACTTGTCCTCGCGCATGTTAGCTCTCGCATGTTGGTTGCCATGTTGCCCAGTAAGGAAAGAGGAGTGAGAATATTAAAGTAAAAAAAAACAGTCCTTCTCAGGACTATACCAACCTGGACGATCTACATTTACAAACATGTAACGATACTTCCGGGTTCAAACCATTTACTTTATTAAGAAATGTATTACGGAAATGTAAAGTTTACCAAATAATTAACAATATTCTTCGATTTTCACGCATCGATCGGCTTTATCTTTGTACAAGGACTGCTTTGAGGATAATACTGCGTAGTTTCACAAGTGCTTGGAGAAAAATATAGAACTAAGAATAGAACTAAACAATATCTATCCTCAAAGCAGCTATTTTATTCAGCTAGACTTAATCAGTGGACAAAAACGCAAATATGTCTCCTTTTAATTGTAAAAATCACATTCCTGCAAAACATATCTTAACAATCTCACTCCTCTTCCCTTACTGCCAACATGGCGGCCAACATGCGCGAGGTAACATGCACGAGGACAAGAAGTTCAAAGGCTCCGACGAGAGTGAGCATACTGTATAATAGCTATACTGTGACATTACCAATATGTTCTGCTACAGCAAACCAAGGTATAGCCAAATTCTTTGGAATAACCTAATCAAAGCACATGCAATGAATATTCACGATTAGGAAAAGAAAAAAGAGAGTGTTATAATTTAAAACATTCGCACGGAATAATATAAGACATTTCCCAAACCTTCACAGGGTCATCTTCACCATTTTGCCATACATAACCGTTACCAGTGGCAGATAGAACAAGATATGCTCTGGCCCAGTCTTCCTCACTACCCAATGCAGCATGATCCAATAAAGGCAACTGTAAACTCAAACATTCAAATTCAGAAGATAAATATATTTTGCCTTTGAATTTCCTAATGACAATATCTAGGATTTTCACTTCTGAAAAATCAAGATCTGCATGCCAAAGTTCAACCTAACTAAAATTTACTAACAGAACTTGTTCATAATCTGGGAAACTGGGACCTAGGACCATTTTCTGGAAACCAAAACCACAATTCAAAAGATGAAATTCACAATCTATAAATAAGAATCCCAATCTAATCTAAAAACCAGAATCCAGCAACTTTAATCCACAAACCAAAAAGTTAAATCAAAATGCAATTACTAACATCCAAAATCTGATGACATACGGCATATCTTTACATTAGGTTATCCGATAGCTTCCAGATAAATGGCAATAATAAATAATATAATACTTTTTGGTTTTCCCCACCAATTATTGTGTTATAAATAAATATTTATAACACCATAATATATAATTGACATAAACTTACATTTTTCACGACCGCACGCAACTTTCCTGAAGCAATTAGATGAGTCAAGTTTCGAAATACCTCATCCCAAGGTGCAAAGTAAGGATTTGTGAATTTGAGCTGCAAATTGTGAATAAATACGAAAGTATATTAAACAAAGAAAGTGACCTTGTACTGTTGTATTTGGTTAGACTGGTCAGTGCATCTAGCAAAGGCGATACTCAAAGTACAGTCAATCACCATCACACAAACAAATCATATTTATCTTGATAGTTTATCTTCAAAAGTTGCCGCTCTAAAATAACTTACCAATGGCGATACTCAAAGTACAGTCGATCACCATCACACAAACAAATCATATTTATCTTGATAGTTAATCTTCAGAAACTTGCTGCTTTAAAATAACTTACCAATGGCGATACTCAAAGTACAGTCGATCACCATCACACAAACAAATCATATTTATCTTGATAGTTTATCTTCAGAAACTTGCTGCCCTAAAATAACTTACCAATGGATCTGTGTCAGGAATAAAGCCACGATTGTAGGACACTTTAAAACGGTCGAATATCGGCATTATCCACTTCTTTTGAGCTTCTAACAACTCACCATTCATCTCGTTAGCTTGGCAATAAAATGAATGTTTTGATTGACAATCCCACATGAACAAAGATAACAATTTTCACGGTTTCGACGTAGAAAATTGACAGGATTCGTGATCAAGGGTAGATGTGAATTAAATGTAAACGATGCCAGCCGATATTATCATGATTATGCATTTTATTCGCCGCTTCAGTGATTTTTAATTGGAAAATTAGCAGCAAAATTTTTACTAGATTTGCCAGATTTTACTATAGTAGCTTTAATTGTAATTCAAATTCATTTTAGGGGGTGTTAGGTTTTGTGATGTAGCCATCTACCTTCTTTAGTATATAATGATTTACATCAACAAATGTAGATATTACAGATTACTGTTATGATCACATTTAATGTTCAACGTCAATGTTTTTGGTCTACGATCTATCGTACATTAGTTAAACTACTTCTATTAATACAAGATATTACGTATAGATATATTTGTTTCTTTAGTAAATATGGTTAATTTACAATCAATGGAAAGCTATTAGGAACTATAAAAAATATTGTGATTATTGCACATAAGTATCTCTTAAAATAATCATTTAGTTAGTTACACATGACTTAATTATTTACTAATAACAGGAGGATTATCAGAGCCTATCTTAACACCCCCCCTTGCTCTTATGTTCTGAGCATCCTACATATTTTTTTTATTATTACTTTTATTCCTTAACTGATACTTACCTTTGGCTTTACTTATGCGTACATTAAAATTTCTACCGTACGTTTCCTAAATTTTTCCAATTTGTTTTTGCTTGTTGGTTTTGTAAAAATATCTGCTACGTTGTTTTCACTAGGTAAATATTTTAAGCTAACTCTTCCTTGCTGAAATTCTGATCTGATAAAGTGGTATCTAATGTCGATATGTTTTGATCTTTGATGATGGACTGGGTTTTTAGCTAGATTCATTGCTCCTTGCTTATCTATAAAAAGAAAAGACTTACCTTCCATTATACTTACCTTCATATCTAAACAAAGTTGCATTAAAAACTTTGCTTCTTGAATTGCATTTGCTAAGGCAATATATTCTGCTTCACACGTTGATAGTGCTACAGTTGGTTGTTTTCGGCTGTTCCATGATATGAGAGGACCTTCTTGTGAAAGCTGAAAATTATAACATGTAATACTTCGTGTATCTTTTATAGACGCTCCCCAATCTAAGTCACAGAAACCTGTAAGTTTAAGTTGTGAATCTGATTTTTGAAAGACTAATCCAACCTCTTGTGCCCTTTTAAATATCTTAAAACATGTTCGGCAATCGATAAATCTGCTTGTGTGGATTCAGACATTTTTTGAGATAGTTTAGTAACAATATAACATAAATCTGGTCTAGTTCCAGTCATCACATATATTGAGCTCCCTACGATCGCTCTATGCAATTTTTTATTTGATAGTACCGGTGATTATTCGCTCATTACTTTTTTCAATTCCTGAAACACAGGGTGTCGGTTTTGGTTTGCAATCAGTCATTTTAAATTTTGAAAGAATTTTCTGAATATACCGTGCTTGATTCATCTTATAACAATTTTCACTTCTTTCAAATTTTGTTCCTAAGAAACATTATAGTTCGCCTAGATCTTTCATTTTGAATTGATTGCTCAAAGAATCTTTTATACTGTTTAAAGAATGAATATCGCTTGCAGCTACAATGATGTCATCCATTCAAATTATGACAATAACACATTGTTCACTATCAATAGTACAAACATATAAACATGGCTCTGCAATGATTGAACAAAGTTTTCTTTTACTAAAAATTCATGCAACAAATTGTTTCAATTCCTGCCACTACGCTTAAGACAGTAAAGTGATTTCTTCAATTTACAAAGTAATTTTTCACCATTTTCACCTAACTTTTCATAGCCTTCTGGTTGATCAATGAAAATTTCACAATCAATAGGTGCGTTCAAATAAGCGGTTTTGACATCCATTTGGTGAATAATCATGTCTTTGTTCACAGTGCGTTGTATTAGTGTGTGAATTGAACTCATGCGTGCTGTGGGTGCGAATGTTTCTTGATAATCAATTTCCTGCACTTGCATGAGAGTAACCTTTGGCTACAAATCTGGCTTTATACGTTTCCGCCTCGTTTTTATCTGTCTTAATTGTGTAAACCCATTTCTCCCCAGTATTTGTCTATCGTTTGGTTTTGGTACAAGCTCATATGTATCATTTTCTACTAGGGCTTTCATTTCAATATTCATGGCCTCTTGCTATTTGTCTGCATCATGTGCTTCAACAGCTTGTTTGTATGTTAATGGAATGTCCTCAACCCTATAACAATAGTCTACTGTAAGACTTAAATTGTCGTTTGTTTTGTTTAGTCCTAAATAACTTGGTTTGCTTCGTTCTCGTTTAGGATATCTAACTAGTTGTTCTTGTTCATGCTGCCCTTGTGCGTGCGTGTCACTCACAGATCTGTGAGTGTCACTGCTTAATTCAGGATTGTTTGTTTTTGAAATATCTTTTTGTTCTTTTAAATTGTTTTGCTTTTCTTCTGTTTCATTTATACTATCTGCATTTTGTATTCTATCTGAAATCATGTTGTCGATATCATTTATTTTTTCTGCCTGAAATTTATCATGAAATTTGACACATCGTGCTTTCTCTACTTTATTC